TTTTTCTTTTTTAATGTAAATACGAAAGGAAAGAAATAGGGCTTATAATCTCCTGGAAATAGGAAATGCGGGGCTATATGGTTCTTGAGAGGAGGCAAGACAGATGCTTTAAAATAATCCCGATCAGGAGAAACTATGATCCCAGCGATCTCGTCAACTACAGAAAGAAAGCACTTGAAATTTGAAATATATATTCCTATATACCATACAATTTCTATATACAATTTCGGGTGCTGCCTGATAACACACTGCTATATACCATATGTACTGAGGGCTTATGCAATATTCATAGCTCATCCCATTTTCTTATGATCGATAATAATCGATCGTGTTTAATATTATGTTTATATATCATCTATATAGCACAGGCAATGCGAGTTTACTAGAGCAAATATTATTCAAGCAATTATCTAACAGAGTAAACCCTGTTGTTAGCTCTTCCTCTTCTGCTTAACCCATTCACGATCATCGTACTCCTACCACTCACGAGCCTCATCGCAAGTATCGATAGATGTATATCTATTGATAGTTAACCATAGTGCTGTTCCCTCTTACTGGCCTACTACACCCCAAAATTAAGTATGGAATGATTTGAATATCTGCTAGTCGGGCACTACCGACTAACTCTAAAGCATTTCTACTTATTCTCAGCTGTTCTCATGAATATGTTTGCGAGACAAGTTCTATATTCTTCACTTATTTCACAATTAATATAGATTCTACCAAAACATATATTATATATACATATATGTACATATATAAACCAAATTGGTCGTAGTTCTGAGCAGAAACTTATTATATTTAGTTGAATAAAACTTAAAGTAGTTTCTTACGCCCCAAACACAGACGACTCAGAGCCCAGCTATAATAATATGTGTGAAATACCCGCATTATATTCATTCAAATTTAAAAAATTACCCATTTTCAAGACAACCTTAAATCAAAATAATTGTATAGTATTACGCGTCTTGATGGAGCACCAAAAAACAAGTTAAGTTTATTCGAAAGTCAATCTAAAAATAGATAAGTAATGGTCGAACATGAAGAGGCTTTGTTTTGATATCGAATCGAATTTGTTGAAGCTTGAAAGCTCGAAAACTTTTGACATTGGATGAGCTTAGGAATGGGAAAGTTTTCATTGACTGTGGAACAGCTGAAATATGAGCTGAACAAAATGAAAAGCATTTTTGCCAAATTACAGTTTCAAGTCAACCCCTTGAAGGCATTAAGGCTTTTTTTAGGCGATGTCCACTTATCAAGCTATGCTACAATTGCTGAGCCATGCCAGGATAATACTTACGACAGATGCACAAAACAAAAATTTTGTGTTTAAGTAGAATTTTAATAGCAATAAGAGTCGGCACGAAATTAAGTTAATTGCTACTACTGTATTTAGTATTTTTTACAAGTGCGAGCAAGAGGTAGAGCAGGAGGAGAGAGGCAGTCAGACGAGAGAGAGAGAGAGAAGTAGAGGCAGCCAGAGGGAGACGGAGAAGTAGAGGCGGTCAGAGAAAGAAGGCAAGGTAGAGGCAATCTGGGGAAGAGGGAGAAGAAGACGGAGAGGTAGAGGCGATCAGACTGAGAAGTCGTGGTAGAGGCAATAAAAGGAGAGAGTGAGAGAGAGGTAGAGGCAGTCAGACGGAGACGGAGAAGTAGTGGCAGTCAGGGGAAGAAGGAGAGGTAGAGACAAACAGAAGAAGACGGAGAGGTAGAGGCGATCCGTGTGAGAAGTCGTGGTAGAGGCAATAAAAAGAGAGAGAGAGAGAGAGAGAGAGAGAGAGAAAGAGAGAGAGGTAGAGGCATTCAGAAGGAGGCGGTGTGGTAGAGGCGGTCAGGGGGAAAAGGCGAGGTGGAGACAAGTGGACGATCTGGGCAATTAGACACAAGTTTAATGAGAGACCCTCAAATTGCTGGCAACAATTTGGATCGCTCTGTATGTGGCATGCTCAGCTGCTGATGTTGCAACAACTGGGTGTGGGCAACCCTTTTGTCTGCCACCCTGTAAGTGTCACACAAAACATACAACAACAGCAGCAACAACCACAGCAACAACAGCGGCAACAACAACAAGCCGTAACAGCACGCAATTAATTTGATTGAAGCTGCCACACGGCGTGCCTGGCAACGTTTCTATCTTACAAATTGCCACGCTGCCGTTGCAAGCAGCAGCAGCAGCAGCAGCAGCAGCCGCAGCGACGGCAGCACGAACAACAAAAGCCACTGTGCAGCAAGCGTGCAATTAACTGTTGTGCGCCAAGATCAAAGCGATTAAAGCCGCTGCTACGTTAAAAGAAAAAACTCTGAATATATATAAAAACTCAGGCGCTGCTCGCGACCCTATGGCTGAAAGCGAAACCCTGCGAGACGAGTCGAGCCAATGAAGCTTTATCGTCATCGTCATCATCATCATCATCATCAGCGTTATCATCATCGTCGTCATCATTGGCTGTTGCTTGTTGTTTTTAGCTGGCCCAAAATGCCAAAAGGGAGCAGAGCAGACAGCGGCAGGGTCAGGCACGGCGGTGCAGCATTGCGGCCTTTGCAGGTGGATGGCCCAGACGGACATGGACATCGTGTAAGCGGCCCGAATGATTGCTGGCCATTTACAAGTGTTAAATGTGCATAAAACTTGGCCAGCATTCAGACGGTGTTCCGGCTCATTCGCCAAGCAACTGCAATTTTCATTATAAATGCGGCGTCCCATTTGGCCAGCGGGGGCGCAACAGCGCCATCGCACAATGGCCAATAACTCATTCGGCAGCAAGTTGGCCAAGAGCTGCTCACAGGCGTCCTCCATATGCATATATGTCTCTTGACGGCTTTGGCTTATGCCCTGACCGGCCCTGCCCTGCCCTGCCCTGCCCTGACCCGGACGACCTTAGAAAGCAGATAGCATTCAGAGTGTTTTATGGCCAAGTTAACCTGGTCTTAGCCGAATGAGCTGAAGATCTGCATATGATCTAATGGAAGACTTGAGGAAGTTGTGATTACAATGCCAACCATAGAAAACGTCGCTCTTAACAAATATTGTGGTAAGTGCTTAAGTTTGAAGTTAGTCTTAACTTTATGTTGATTCTCATCTCTAATAAGGTGTATGCTAGTCGGCTATAGCCTTTAGTTTAACATGTTTCTTTACATTTTTGTAAGACTTATTTAAGATCTGGGCATATTCTAGTTCTGGTAGTGTAAAAGTTCACTCGTCTTCCTTTTGCCTTTAGCTAGCATATAAATCACATGTGCTCAAATAATACTTATAGACGATCCAGTTCTGGTAAAGTAGATATAGTAGAGTAGAAGAGCTGCGCCTTCAAGCCAGTATCAATCAGCTCCTAGAATCAAATCGATCTAGTACTGACCGTTTTACTGATATGATATGATACCATTTATATTGATATCCGATTTAATTTGCCTTAATCGATAACATTTTTCTTATTCCAGCAATCGATTTTAATTTAATATCATATTGCTTTATTATCTAATCTTGGATCTTACAAAGCAACTTCTAGTGATCCTCCACCCATTGCCATATAAAATGAAATCAAACTGAATTTGGAGTATACTAGTTATGGGACTTCATTTAAGATGCGATATATTTACTGTAAGCTCTGCGACTATAGCAACTACTAGATTTGAGTTACTCACAAGCAAATCAAACCCTTCAAAGTACTTTATTTTCAGCTAAACTTATTTAGCAATAAAATTTTCATAGAACTTTTGTGTTTGTTTAGTAATTGCAGGGTAGCTACGAGTCGATCACATTCAACTGGACAGCTCCCATTTCAAAATTTTGAGAGTCCATGGAAACTGGAAAACCAGCTAATAATGTTTTTCTGAACAGGAATGCAACAGGCAGGAGGAGGCGTGGCATAATGTACGTATATCCTGAGTCTATGTAGCCATATCTGACCGTCCGTGCAATGGCACATATATACTCGTAGGAGTTTATATTATACTCTTTTTTTTTAAGTAACCGATTTTTATACCCTGAACCCATTGAAAATGGGAAATCAGGGTATAATGGTTTTGTGAAAAAGTATGTAACGGGCAGAAGGAGGCGTGGCAGACCCCACAAAGTATATATATTCTTGATCAGCGTGACGAGCTGAGTCGATATAGCCCTGTCCGTCTGTCCGTCCGTCCGTCCGTCCGTCCGTCCGTCCGTCCGTCCGTCCGTCCGTCCGTATGAGTGCGTCGATCTCAGAAGTTATAAGAGCTAGAGAGCTGAAATTTGGCATGCATACTCGTGTGTACCATACGCAGTACGAGTTTGCTTTATTTTTTCGATAAATCGTCCGATAACTTTTTTATCGAGAATAATCGAAAAATTGATTT